GAACCATGTAAGGACCTTGCCAGTTTGGTGCGAACTTTCCTTTGTACTCGTCTTGATGAGGAAAAATACGCTTAAGAACCAACTGACCAACTTCAAAATTTCTGGCTCTTACTCTTTTGTGAAAAGCGCGAGTCATTCTTTGTCTATACAACTGGCCATGGCAAACAGCAACCATCCTCTTCTCATCAATCAAGGCCAGTTGATCAATCCGTTTGCTAACCCACTCAGCATTACTTAGCTCAGCTTCTTGGATGATCCTCAGTGACGGTATCTCGACTTCAACAGGTACGACTGCTTCTGTTCCGTATACTAGCAAGTATGGAGTAGCCCCAGTCGATGTTCTGACCGTCGTTCGATAACCTAGTAGAGCATATGGCAACATTTCATGCCAACCCCGCTGCTTGTCAATCATTTTCCTCAGAATCTTCTTGATGTTCTTGTTGGCGGCCTCTACAGCTCCGTTCATTTGAGGGCGATAAGCAGTTGACCTTCGGTGGATAATCTTAAATTGTTCACATATCTCTTTCATCAGATGGCTGTTGAGATTTGCACCGTTATCAGTGATGATGGATTCTGGAACTCCAAATCGGCAGATCAAATTGTTGCGGACAAAGTCGGCCACCACTTTCTTGGTTACCGATTGGTAAGAGGCTGCTTCCACCCATTTGGTGAAATAATCGATGGCAACCAAAATAAATCTGTGTCCATTGGAAGCGGCCGGTTCTATAGGGCCGATGACATCCATTCCCCAAGCTACAAATGGCCAAGGTGAACTCATAGCATTGAGTTCGTGAGGTGGCACCCTTATCAGATCTCCGTGCACTTGACATTTATGGCATTTTTGCACGAATTTGCAACAGTCGTTCTCCATAGTCATCCAGAAGTAACCGGCTCGAAGGACTTTTCTTGCCAAGGTAAGCCCGTTCATATGTGTGCCACAGACTCCAGCATGTATCTGTTCAATAAGCCTCACGGCTTCAGCAGCATCCACGCATCTCAAAAGACCCAAATCTGGAGTCCTCCTGTAAAGGACTTCTCCATTCAAAAAGAAATTGAGAGCCATACGACGTATCGACTTCTTTTGATTAGACGTGGCGTCTTCTGGATATGTCCCAGACTCCAAGTACCTCTTTATGTCGAAATACCAAGGCAAACCATCTGGTTCTGATTCCACGTGTGAACAATGGACTGGATGCTCCTTCAAATCTATATCCAGCGGGTCGATGTAATCAATATCCGGATGTTTGATCATTGAAGCGATGGTGGCAAGAGCATCAGCTAATTCATTCTGTATTCTGGGAGTGTGTCTGAACTCGATCTTGCGAAACCTTTTACACAGGTTTTGCACATATTGTACATAAGGTACAATCTTTGGGTTCTTCACAGCCCACTCTCCTTGAACTTGATGGATCAAGAGGTCTGAATCTCTAATAACCAGTAACTCGTAAACACTCATGTCAACGGCCATTTTCAAACCGAGAATGCAAGCTTCATACTCAACCATGTTGTTTGTGCAGTTGAACCGCAGCTTAGCCGCCATAGGATAGTGCTGACCAAATTCTGATACCAAGACTGCTCCAACACCTTTACCCTGGTGATTCACCGCTCCATCGAAGAATAATCTCCAACCTGGATAAGCTTCAGAGATATCTTCGCCCACAAATGACACTTCTTCATCGTGAAAATATGTCTTGAGAGGTTCATACTCTTCATCAACGGGATTTTCCGCAAGATGATCAGCCAAAGCTTGTGCTTTTATTGCCTTCTGAGTCACGTACATGATGTCAAACTCACTCAACAGCATTTGCCATTTAGCCAACTTCCCGGTCGGCATCGCTTTCTGGAAAATATACTTTAACGGATCCATCCTGGAGATAAGATATGTAGTATACGATGACAGGTAGTGCCTCAGCTTCTGGGCAAGCCACGTCAGAGCACAACATGTTCTTTCCAGCAAAGTGTAACGAGACTCGTACGGAGTAAATTTCTTGCTGATGTAGTAGATAGCCTTTTCCTTCTTCCCTGTCTCGTCGTGTTGACCAAGTACACATCCAAAGGCGTTATCCGAGACAGACAAATATAGCAACAAGGGACTCCCTTCTCGCGGAGGAACCAATACTGGTGGGTTAGACAAGTAGCTCTTGATAGCGTCGAAAGCGGTCTGGCACTCCTCAGTCCACTTAGTTGGGGCATCTTTCTTCAGCAACTTGAAGATAGGCTCACATACCACCGTCGATTGTGCTATAAACCGGCTGATATAGTTTAACCTCCCCAAGAAGCTCATCACCTCTTTTCTCGTCTTCGGCGGAGGTAACTCCTGAATTGCTTTGATCTTGGAAGGGTCGAGCTCAATACCTCTTCTGCTGACTATAAACCCTAACAATTTCCCAGCTGGGACTCCAAAAGCACACTTGGCGGGATTTAGCTTCAAGTTGTACCTACGCAAACGTTCAAAGAATTTTCGCAGGTGTGTCAAATGATCCGAACTCTCGCGGGATTTAATTATGACGTCGTCCATGTACACTTCAATTTCCTTGTGAATCATGTCGTGGAAGATAGTCGTCATGGCTCTCATGTAAGTGGCACCGGCGTTTTTGAGCCCAAACGGCATCACCTTGTAGTGATATACCCCCCAAGGTGTGATGAAGGCCGTTTTCTCCGCGTCTTCTTCATCCATCAGAATCTGGTGATAACCCGCGTAACAATCCACAAATGACTGCATCTCATGCTTGGCACAGTTGTCAATCAGAATATGGATATTTGGCAACGGGAAATTATCCTTTGGACTAGCCTTGTTGAGATCTCTGTAATCAACGCAAATCCTGATTTTTCCATCTTTCTTGGCGACCGGAACGACATTCGCCAACCAGGTGGGATATTGCGTTACTTCTACCAACCGGGACTCTATCTGCTTGGTGATTTCCTTCTTAATCTTCAAACTCAACTCAGGCTTGAATTTCCAAGTCTTTTGCTTCACTGGCTCGAACCCTGGGTTGATAGGCAGCTTATGAGATACGACATCGGTACTCAGCCCCTGCATGTCACTGACCTCCCAAACAAACACATCGCTGTATTTGGCAAGCAAATGAATCAGGCTCTCTTTCTGAGTTTCATTCAGGTGAGTGCTGATCTTAACCTCTTTGACACATTCTGAATCTCCCAAATTTACCGTCTCTGTTTCCTCCAGATTCGGTTTATGTTGATTCTCGAACTGTCGAAACTCTTCTACTACATAGTCTGGTTCCCCACTTTCTTCGTCGTAGTCGTCAGCCTCGTCGTCATTTGCCTCATTTTGTTCGTTTAGCTCATGACATGACATGACGTTAGCAGGTTTGTAACTTACGTTACTGAAATCATAAACAGACAAAATTAGAAAATTAAAACATAACAAGCAATCGAATAAACAAAGTCAAAATAAGGAGGCTTTCATTTAAATTGAATCAAGATGCAAAGTTGGGTCATGGCACAAGGCCATGTCGCCCTTTAAACAATCATAACAAAATTCAAAATCAAGAAAATGCAGAAATGGTGGGTCTCGGGCCTCTTCCGAACGACCACCGATTTTGGCATGCACAAAATAATTCCTTTCTACCCAAAAGTCCGAGACATCAGGATTGGTGTGGACGTCCAATTCTTCAGCATCTCCCCCGGTTCAGCATCGTGAAAGCCAGCTGGCTCGGCCTCTTCCTCTATGACGGCATTGATCTCCTTGAACAGGTCACAGATTCCTTCCCCGTCGTCTTCAGGCTCGGCATGCTCCCGAATTGGAAAGGAGTGATAGAGATGCGGGATCGGCTTAGTCAACTCTTGATCCCTTCTCCTCTTCATCTTCATATCATCATCTGTGGGGATGTACCCCAAACCATACTTTGATCCCTGAGCAAGGACCGGAACAGGCTCAATAATTCCTTGGGAATCTCTTCCCAATCCGAAACCTGGCTCGAACCCATTTTGCAGCATCACCGTGGCTATCATTTTGTACACGGCTGGCATGGAGTTGAGGGCCAAATCTTCGTTGGTGGCATTCACCAGCTCCACCGTGTAAAAGTCTGCGCCTTGCGGCATCTCATCAATGACCGACACCTGCTTGCCCGAGCGACTTCCCTCGCCGTGAATCACTAACTCTTCATTTTTCCACACAAGCTTCATCATCTGATGGAGAGTAGAGGGGACGGCTCCAGCCATGTGGATAAACGGCCTTCCCAAAAGAAGGTTGTAGCTAGTGTCTATGTCCAATACTTGGAATTGCGCACTAAACTCTGCGGGGCCCATTTGAAGGGTCAAAGTCACAGCCCCTAAGGTGTCTCTTTGCACACCATCAAATGCCCTTACATTGACCTGATTCTTCTCCAGTTTCCCAAGGTCAAAATTTAGTTGCCTCAAAGTCGTCAATGGGCAAATATTCAAACCGGACCCATCATCTACCAAAACACAGTTGACAACCTTTCCCCGACATATCACGGTAATGTGTAGCGCTTTGTTGTGGGATCTTCCTTCGACTGGCAACTCATCGTCACAAAAGCTGATCCGGTGCCCCCGAATGACTTGATGAATCATAGCGGCCACGTTATCACTACTTGTACCTGAGGGTACGTATGTATCATCAAGATCTTTCATTAAGGCTTGCCTGTGGGACTGAGAGCTCATCAGCAGGGCCCACACGGAGATCTGAGCCGGAGTCTTCTCTAAATGTTTGACGATGGAATAGTCCTTCGGTTGCATCCTTCTCCAAAATTCTTCTGCTTCCCCCTCGCTTATCGGCCTCTTAGCATGGTCCTTCTTCTGTCCTCCGAGAGCAAGCTCATCAGGAGTGTAGCACCTTCCGGACCTGGTCATGCCTTGGGCCACGGCAGTTTCAATGACAAATTTGGGCTTAACGAGGGTTTTCGAAGGCACCAAGGCAACAGCCTTTGCAGGTGTCAGAATAACAAACTTCCTCCTTTCTTTGACGCTTAAAGAAGCGACAGCCCTTTCCAAGTCCTCATGCATAATAGGGGTAATCATCTTTGTTCCACACCGTCTTCATCCGTTTCAATCATATTAAGGTTGTCACCTCCATGATTCGGCAACGGATTCGTGTTGACGTTTGGCACTGCCGGTTGAAGAGAAACTACCTCTTGATCGATCAGGTCTTGGATTTTGTGCTTGAGGTTGATGCAATCTTCCGTGTCATGTCCAACACTGTTGGAATGATAAGCACACCTTTGATCTGGCCCGTAGAACTTCGAGTTAACATCCCCGGGTTTGGGCCCCACAAGGTGGATGTATCCATCTGCGGCTAGCCTCTCAAATAGTTTGGTCCGGCTTTCAGCAAGTGTGGTAAAGTTCCTTGAAGGCCTTTTTTCAAATCTCGGACGGGAATTATCATAACCGCTTTGCCGAGGGGGAGGCACCCGCTGATAATTTTGGGTATTTGTACGAGGAGCTTGGCTTCGGGGATAAGGGTTTGCCTGGAAATTTGGCATTGGAGCTTGGTAATTCGGGAGGGGGTCCTGGTATAATGGAGCTCGGACTTGATAAGTGGGCGGAGGTGGTCGGTAGCTCGACTGTACGTTGGCACAGTCGGGAGCAATATTCTGATAAGGGGATGGGATCGGGTATGGTTGAGGGTAATTTGGGAATATGGGAGAAAAATTTTGGAGATTGGAGGGTGGACCTTGGTACGACGAAATTTGAGCATTCTAATAGGTGGGGACAGTATTGTGGTTATTAGGATGATTGGATTGTGGGTAGTAGGATCGGTGAGACTTTGGGGAAGGCCTGGAACGATCTTGGGAATGTGACGGGTTTCTAGGGGTTTTTCTTCCCCCATACGAGACAGCGGCAACTTCCTCTCTTCGCTTTTTTATCAATCCTGAAGACCCAGGCGACGCAGATACACGGGCTATCTTCCCCGATTTTAGACCATCTTCGATAGTCTCACCAACTTTGACTATCTCAGCGAATTTAGCTCCGACCAGCAACATGATTCGATCATAGTACTCAGGCTCCTGTACCCGCACGAACACTTCCACAATCTCTTTCTCGGTCATGGGTGGCCTTACCCTCGCCGCTTCTTTCCTCCACCTATAGGCAAATTCCCTATAGCTTTCAGTTGGTTTCTGCTTTATCTTCTCTAGAGAATACCGATCGGGCACTATTTCAACATTGTAGGCGAATCGGTCAATGAAGTCCTTAGCCAATGCATTCCAACTGGGCCACTGCCTGGTTTCATGTGAAGTAAACCACTCGAGGGCCTCCCCACACAGACTTCGGCTGAAAAGCCGCATCAACAAGGCCTCATCCCTGCCAACTCCCACGAGCTGGTCACAATACGCTCTCAAATGTGCCATAGGATTGCCTGCTCCTCCGAAGGTGTCAAACTTCGGAATTTTAAAACCTTCGGGAAGGTTCAAATCTGGATGGATGCACAATTCTGCGTAGCTAAGTCCGACGGCGTCTGGGATGCACTGCAGCTCTTTCATAGCCCTTTTGATTTCTTCCTTTATATCGATCTTCACTTCTTCTTTCGCCTTCCATTCTCTTTCCTGTTCTTCATAGTGATCCAACTCAGAACCGTGCAGCTCGTGCTCGGCAGGAACGGGAACTTGGAAGGTGGCTCTTTTGGGGAGGGGTGGAGCTATAGAGGGACTTGGAACGTTTTGGGCGGTCTGGTAGTTTTGTGGGTAGGCCTGAGGATTGGTGTTCTGGCTCAAATGCGGATGAAATGCTTGGGTATTGAAGGCAGTTTGAGTTTGGTTTTGATTTTATGGCGGTGGGGCAGTTTGAGTATTCTGAGGATGGGGTGGTATTTGAGGGTGGTTATTTGGAAGAGGTGAAGGAGTTTGGTAAGATGCAGAAGCGTATTGAGGGTTTTGGGTTGCGAGGTCAATCACAGACGGATTATGCACAGGTGTAGAAAGCTGGTTCTGAGTTGGATCTATGTTTGATGAAGGGAAGTAGACCGGAGGTCTTGCATCAGCAATATTAGTACCAAATCCAGGTGGAGGCGCATCCTGTCTCCGTTGCATTTCAACTTTCATTTCAGCAATCTGTTGCATCAGCTGCATGATCAATTCGTTCTGTTCCACTACAGTGGGCTGAGCCACCACAACATCAGTAAGACGCCCTTCGTCATTGTTGTCTCCCATAACTGTCTTTCCTTTGTCTGAATTTGATCGAGGGAAGGAATCTGTAGGACCTTTTGATCTGGTGAAGTAAGGATGATCTGCCAGCTTTATCGACACAGATCAGTAAAAGGTACCTGAGATGTAAAAACAACTCAAAGGCAAATTTGTTAGTGCATATCCAGAGTACAAAATGCATAATATCGCACATAAAACAGATAAGCACACAAGTCGTTTTGTTTGAGGATATCTTAACCCACGAATAAGGACAGATATATATTTTGAACAAATAGGAATTTGTTTGTTTGGCGCTATCTTGGGAAATCTGAATCACGTTGAGCTATGGTCTTCTTGCAGCTGCTTTGCGACGTCCGTTGATCTTATCTTCGTATCTCCGAAACATGGAGGAGAATGAAAATTTTCTGTGATAGGGGCCGGGCCGGGAAGGCTGCCTACGTATCTCACGGGGAGAATTCAGGCCCAACGTAGTTCGGATTTTAGGATGAAAATTTTCCATTCATTCTTTCGTTGTGATTACAAGGGAATTGAAAAAACAACATTGAGATTTCTAGAAGACCACATTCGGAGATTTCTTGTCTTGTGGCTGCGTCATTCCTTTCCTTTCAGACAGTCGGAAATGGAGGCTTGTAGACTATTTCTTCTTCATCATCCTCCTCAGTCACTTCACGGCCGGGGCCACTGTTATCTGCTCCCCGATCACGGGCGAGGTATTTTCCGCCCTTTGGGTCGCTATGGGTCGCCAATTCCTCGTCGAGCGCCGCGCTTCTGTCCAATAACACAGCAGTCTCGATATCTATCTTCGCCTCTCTCGCCTTTCCTTCGTGTATCTCCAAACGAAGCAAGTTCAACCTTTTCCTTAGGCTTTCGGTTTCCATCTCAACCTCCTTCTTTCTCTTTATCTGTGACGCCAGATCTTCATCCAATGTTGTGACCGCAGCTTTGTAGATCGCCGTGGTCGCATCTACTTTGAGTCCTTCTTCCTTAACCTTCTGAATCTCTCGAGTGACTCGCTCGATCTTTCTTCGCAATTCCTCCTCAGTGAGCTCCGTCTGGACGTTCTTGCCTTTGTCCATAGCGGTGATTCAACTTTCCTGAGATGATAGAGCGGTATTTAGGATTTATGGTATGGATTTTGTGTGAGAAACTTGAGACTCGGGAATTTTGGTCGGACAATTGTAATGTTGGCTTCTGTATACTCTTCAGGATTTTGGCTAGGAGTGGGTTTACGATATCCTCAATCAAAGCAACATAACACATAAACATTTAAACAAATATATCGTGTCCTAAACATGCATGTGACCCTTTTGTGCCAAGGGTAGGCCTAGCGATCTGAAGGATGTATTGCGCCATTTAAATAAGTAATTGTACCCCCGAAACAAATTTCACTAGATGTCATAGCGTTCATTACACAATCAAAATTAAACGGGATATATCTTGGGAAGGGGATGTAGTGCAAATACACATATAAAATCAATCCCACGCAGGGGAGTTAAAAGGTCGATGATCCAGCTCCTCTTCTGGCCTTCTCCACTTCTTCTCGGATAATGCATTTGCTGGTGAACACGTATGGCTCAGCGAACGCGGCTTTGGAAGATGTTGGTACGGCTTGTAAGGTGTTCATCTGCTCGTCCAAAACAGTGTCCAAACGCATTAGACAAGTTCTTGTGTCAGCTAATTCTTGTGACATTACGGCCAAAACTCTCTGATTTTCTAATTCCCGGAGTTGGTATGCTTGCTCTTTTTGTTGAAATTCCTGTTCTTTCTTATAGAATTCCTGCTCCCTTCGGTCCCACTCTTGCTGAAAATGGTACGCGTGAATCTGAAGCCTTGTCTCCACATCTTCGATTTTCCGACTCGTGCGTGGTGTTGGATCCACTACACCACGCAAATCTTTGTGCAACCATGTCTTGTATTCGTCGATATACCCAGCTCCATACTTGTCTTCGGTGACCTCCCGCTTCATGTTGACGCGTCCGGCCCATTCCTGGAGGATAATTTTAGCGAAAGGTATTTTGTCCTTCTCGTTGTAATCAACAATGAAAGAGCTGGCATCTCCTTGGGCGGGTATGATTTGGAATTTCCCAAATTGCCGCATTACTCGTGTCGGGTTGTAAGGACGCAATCCTCTGATGCCGGGAAGGACTAAAAATGGCAATTTGGCCCCTTGTGCTGCTATCATCTGAGACCTGAAGCTCGGTAATACCCATTGTATGTCTCCTTCTTTCAAATTGTAAAACACCTTTGCCCACGCATCCCTGGTGGTGTGAATTGGAAATTTACGGATACTCAAGTAGAACTCATAATTATCGAGAGGACTTGTTTGACTTGGTTCGGCCAAACCCTGTAGCTGGGGGTTGTCTCTTTTGCATAGATGTTCCGTCAACCACCATTGAAGTAAGATGTTGCAACCTTGGAAAAACGGGAAACCATTCTTGCACAGGCTCAAAGATCGGTAAATGTCGGACAAGATGACCGGGGCCAAACAGCAATATTTCTTTTCTTCAGATTTTCTACCGACTCCTCTGAACATGGCATTCACTACCATCACTACTCTGGTGTCGATCTCTTTTCCTTCGTCTTTAGGGAACACCATAGTTCCCAAGAGGCATGCGGAGAAAGCGATAGCTTGGGTTTGCCTCCAAGTACTGTGATCATGAAATTCGTCCGGGAACAATCTAAAATAATTGTCGTGCCCCCACCTCTCGAAAAACCTCATCAGCGGAATGTTGTTGGTCTCTAACCAATCTGCATTCACTAGGAATAGCATATCCCTCAATTCGTTCTTGGTTGGCCTATCTGGTAAGAGAATGTGATGATCGGGACGCTTTTTCCTTTTGCCACACGTCCCAATCGAGTCAAGGCAATCTTTGATCTCTTCCAGTGTGGGCGTTATTTCGACATCTCCAAATCGAAAGACCATTTTATCATCGTCCCAAAATCGGGTGATGACCTCGATAAATGTGGGCCATACCTTGAAGTCCATTATCGAAGGTAGGTGACCCAAGTAAATCGAGATTTCTCTCTTTTGACACTCCTTAAGATTGCTCCACCATACTCGAAGAATGTCGGGTGCCTGGGTGACCATTTTGAAGTGAAGGAACTGACTTGACATCTACAAAAACATACAACTAGTTAATTTTCAATCCCCCTGATACAACAACTAGTTAAACACGCAATACATCCTTCAAATTTAAACAACAAACATGAGCGTCCTATCGAGCCGCAGGCTCTTTGGACTCAAGGTGGACTTTCTAATGGGCCCGACACTCCCTGGGTGTCGGGTCATCCTAGGCCAATGCACTATTTTCGGGATTTGGTTTCGCTCTATCCTAGTTTTGACTAAGAGTGGTTTGTATTTAGAGTGGATTGGGTAACCCAAGCGGACTACTTGGGCTGGGACAATTAACGATCGTTGACTATCAAGTAGTCAACTACACTCGTCAGGGTGCCCCGAGAAGATATTTGGTTAACGAACGACTGCGAACCCGCATAATCGTCCTTTAGTGGAAATGTAAAAAAGTGTCGTTTGACGGAAGTATGTATGCTATGTATGCAACAGTTTAAAAAATCTAAATAATTTAAACACTTAAACAGTTAATCACAAATAATCAAATGCGTTAATCTTAAGGTTAGAATCCTCCAAAGTCCCCAGCAGAGTCGCCATTTCTGTTTTATCGAAAAAAGGGGGTGATTTTCGAAAAGAGTTTGTTTTTAGACTTTTAGGAGTCGCCACTTAATTTTTAAGAAAAATCAAGAAAACTTCGTTTCTAAACAACTTAAACAGAAAAATTGTTTTGAAACATTTTAAGGGTTCGGGATTCCTATTAGCATCTTAGGAAGGTGTTTAAGGCACCTAAGACACTCCGTTAAATACGGTTTTCCAACGACTAACTTATTTGATTATTTTTTAACCTTTGAAGATTTGCGAAATTTATTGAATTTTGAGTTTAAACAAATTTACAAGTTTTTGCAATATTTATCTTGTCAATTTTATTTTTTAAGGTTAAAGCCCTTTAACACAAACGAACTTAGGAATAGAATTTGAACATATTAGAGTTTTAAACAAACTTGCGAGTTGAAATATTCATCGTTTTGAGATTCTATTAAAAGTTAAACCTTTTAAACTTAAGTCTAAGCGACTTTCAAATTCGGACATCTTTAAAGTTCCAATTTTAGTTTCGAGTTTTGATAAAGCAAAAGGCGTTCAATGGGGGTTTGGAGTTCTTCCAACTCTAAAACTAAACGATATTCAAGCACGTAACCAATTAATAAAGAGAGAGAGAGAGAGAGATTTTGAGTCCAGACTCGGGTTCTGTCCGCCTTGACCGAGTTTTCGACCCACCTGTTTTTGGGTTTTTTAACCCATTTCTTGTACCTGTCCTAATCTAAACATACAAAATAAATTTCAAGAAAATAAAACAACAAGGGCTTATGCCCGTTACAAAATAAAATACAAAATATAACAAAAAGAAATAAAGAAGTCTTCTAATCCTCTTTTGGATTTCTTCGAACTTCGGGACCTGTTCGTCAATATCGCAGATTGATCGACTCGATGAAGGAAGTGAGTAGATCTTCCATGGCCCACGAAGATGCAAGGGCGAAATCCATAGGACTCGAACAAATTTCCCATACAAAACCGAAAGACAAGTGAGTAAAAATGGGCAAAGCTCCGCATGTATAGAAAAGCAACAAGAGATCTTAAGTTGACAAACCGAAGTCAAGGACTAACAGAAGACAAGAGAGTCAAAAGACTGAAGATATCCTCAACACCCACATGTTTAACAGATTTGAACCCAAGACGAAACAAGACGACCAGCAAGGTGATGAACAAACACCACATTATCGAGCTATGGGTCCTCAAAACAAAAATAAGATCAATACGACCAAATTGATTGTAGAGGCACCATGACGAAACAGGAGAAACAGAGAGAGGCGCAAACCGGTCGACGAAACAATCTATGACATGCAATTTGACTCGAATTTACACGAAACCAATAAATCAA